GCGCGAGATTGGTAGGCTCAGCGACGACGAGGACTTCGAGGAGCCTCCGCCGAAGAAGAATCACATCCACCTCATCGTAGGCGGGAACACTGGGGGGGACTCCGCCACTCAGAGGAAGAAATGGGCCCAATCCCTCTACATTGGAGAGGTGTCCCACGTTCCCCCCCAGCCGAAGAAGCAGCGAACGGAGGCGATCACCTTCACCGACAAGGATCTGCCTCCGGGTACGGAATCACACAGGGACGCCCTCGTCATCCGATGTGAGATCGGTGACTCCATCATCCACCGTACTTACATGGATACGGGGAGCTCCGTCAACGTGATGTACCTAGACACCTTCAAGCAGCTGAGGCTGGACAGAGCTCTGCTGAAGCCGATCAAGACCCCGTTATCCGGCTTCACCGGGGACTCTATCGACGCTGAGGGCACGATAGTCCTCCCCGTGGAAGTCGGTGACGGCCCCCACCATGCCAAAATTGACATGGAGTTCATGGTGGTCAACCTCCAGTGCGCCCACAACTTGATCTTGGGCCGGCCAGCGCTGGAGGACTTGGAGGCCATCATCTCCATGAAGCACCTATGCTTGAAGTTCCCCACCAATGACGGCATCGGCTACGCCAGAGGAAATCAGAGGATAGCCAGAGCTTGCTACCTCAAGCTGACGAGGCCGGCCGAAAGGGAAGGACAGCGGATAGACACCATCACGACCGCCGTCGCCATGGACGAGGAGAGGCCACATGCGGAGCCGGCCGAGGAGGTCGAGGAAATCCCTCTGGATACCTCCCGGCCGGAGCGGGTTCTCAGGGTCGGAAAGCAACTCCCCCAGGACCAGCGAGACGCCATCCTCCTCGTCCTACGGTCATACGCCGTTGTCTTCGCGTGGGGCCCGGACGATATGCCCGGCATCAGCCGCCAGGTGATCACTCACCGGCTGACCGTCGATCCGGCCTCCGCGCCCGTCAAACAGAAGCGGCGCTACTTGTCCGCTGACAGGCGGGACTTCGTCAAAGGGGAGGTCGCCATGCTCTTGTCGATCAAACATATCAAAGAGGTGAAGTACCCAACATGGTTGGCCAACGTCGTCCTCGCACAGAAACCGCCGACGTTCAGAATGTGTGTTGACTACACTGACCTGAACAAGGCGTGCCCCATGGACCCGTTCCCTCTCCCCAACATTGATCAGTTGGTGGACGAGACGGCGGGGTGCGAGTTGATGTCGTTCCTCGACGCTTTCAGAGGGTACCACCAGATCTCCATGCACGAAGATGACGCCGAGAAGACGGCATTCATGACCCCAGAGGGAATATTTTGCTACCTCGTCATGGCCTTCGGACTCAAAAACTCCGGCGCCACCTATACTAGGATGGTGGCCAAAATCTTCAGAACGGTCCTTGGTCGGACGATGGAGGCATACGTCGACGACATGATCGTCAAGAGCAGGCAGGCCACCTCCCACGCCGACGACCTCCGGGAAATCTTTGAAATCATGAAGGAGTTCAGGCTCCGCCTTAACCCCAAGAAGTGTGCCTTCGGCGTCCAGGGCGGCAAGTTCCTTGGCTACATGGTCAGCCGGAGAGGCATCGAGATAAACCCAGAGAAGACGCAGGCTATCATCAACATGGAGCCGCCCCGCAACGTCAAGGAGGTACAGCGACTGACGGGGCGCCTAGCGGCCTTAAACCGGTTCCTCTCCAGGTCAGCTGAGAGGGCACTCCCTTTCTTCCAGATCATGCGCAAGGCAACCAGCTTCAAGTGGACGACGGAGTGCCAGGAAGCATTCGACGAATTGAAAAGGTACCTGTCGTCCCCACCTGTACTCTCCAAGCCCAAAGCCGGCGAAACCCTCTTCCTGTACTTAGGGGTGAGCACGTCGGCCATCAGCTCCGTGCTCATCCGTGAGGACGAAGGGGTGCAGAAGGCCATCTTCTACATCAGCAAGACACTTAGGGAGGCCGAGCTCAGGTACTCCCCCATTGAGAAGACGGTGCTGGCCATCGTCCACACCGTGAAGAAGCTGGGGCACTACTTCCAAGCCCACACCGTCCATGTGCTGACCCAGCAGCCTCTCGGCGCGCTCATGAGGAGCCCCACTAGCTCCTCGAGGATGGTGAAATGGGCGATCTTCCTCAGCCAGTTTCAAATTGAGATCAAGCCAATGCCATCTATCAAAGGGCAAGCCTTGGCCGACTTCGTCATCGAATGCACAGCAAGGGAGACAGCCGTCGCTAACTCCGGACCGGAGCCGGACGATACGTGGACCCTGTTCACTGACGGCTCGTCGGCCGCGAAATCATGCGGTGGCGTCGTCGTCCTCATATCCCCTGAAGGATTCAGAGCCTACTATGCCATCCGCTTCAACTTCAGGGTATCCAACAACGAAGCCGAGTATGAGGCCCTCCTCAGCGGTCTCAGACTCGCCGCCGGCCTCAAGGCCAAGCACCTCAGAATCAAGTGCGATTCCAAACTGGTAGTGGGCCAGGTGGAGGGATCGTACGAAGCAAAGGAAGGCCGGATGAAGCAGTACAAACAAGCGGCGGAGGAATTGCTGAAAGCGTTTGAAACCCACGAGATCACTCAGATACCAAGGGCCGAGAACGCCGAAGCCGACATCCTCTCCAAGCTCAGCTCGGACACCCCGGAGCACATCTCCCAGTTGGCCAAGATCGAGGAGTTGAGCATGTCCAGCATCCATGCCAGCCCCGTCTTGTGCGTCCAACAGCGACCAGAGGACTGGATCTCCGACATCGCCACCTTCATCACAACGGGGGAGTTGCCCCCGGACGAGGAGAGGGCCAAACTCGCCAAACTCAGGGCCCCAAGCTACACCATCGAAGATGGCAAACTCTACAAACGGTCCTATAATGGCACTCTCCTCCGGTGCCTGCACCAGGACGAGGCCGACACAGCCATGGAAGAAGTTCATTGCGGCGTCTGCTCCTCACACCAGGGCCCTTTCAGCATGTCCCGGCGTCTCGTCGTCCAGGGTTTCTTCTGGCCGACGATGGCACGCGACTGCGCTGACCTGGCCAGGAAGTGCACCACATGCCAGGTACTCCAGAAGGCCCCGGGTCGGCCAGCTGTCATTTATGCCCCTGTCAGCACCGCAATTCCATTCTCCAGATGGGGAATTGACCTGGTCGGCCCCCTGCCCAGAGCCGCCGGGAATAGCCGCTACATCATCGTCGCCGTCGACTACTTCACCAAGTGGGTCGAGGCGGAACCCTTGGCCAGCATCACGGGGGCCAGATGCCAAAAATTTGTTTACAAGAACATCATCACACGCTTTGGCGTCCCCCAGGAGATCATATCAGACAACGGCACCCACTTATGAATAAAATCATGTTCTGATTTTCCCTGGAATTTAAAGTAAAACATTTAGCAGGTGCCCTCGTCGGCCACCTTAGAGCGAAAGGCTCAGGTCTGGCCGACATGGCCCCTTGCATTTGCAGCCTAGGAGCGACAAGCTCCGGCACTCCATTGTATTTTGTATCAGCGAAGGGCTCAGGCCTAGCTGAGAGAGCACATCGTCCTGGCCCCGTAAGCCTAGAAGTGAAACGCTCAGGTATGGCCGACGATGTCCCCAGGACGAGGGGCCCGCAAACGGCCCACGTCTTGAAACGGGAAGCTCACCGCGTAGTCCACGCGCCAGAACGCAGGACGACAGGCCTGAAATCATGGCCGAGGTGACAAAATCCCAAAACTCAGGGATGGGCAACGACAGCCGTTGGAAACCGACCAAAAGTCTAGCCCGCGTCATAAATAGGCGACGGGACCCACCCTGAGACCACGGACGTTATAAACGAAGTCCGAACCGGCCGAAGCCTGAAAGAAGGATACCCCCCGAAACGAAAAAAAAAAGAAGACATACAAGGGAAAAAGAGGGAAGCCGACGGCCGCGCATACTAGCCGGCCTCGAGCAATGAAAAAATAACATCCCCACAACTCAGGCCCAACTAGGCCAAGTACATATCAGTTGAACACAAGTTTAGAACCACTGACAGGCAGCATGGACGACACGTCCACACACCACGAGGGAACAATCAAGGCCGATACACACGCCTATGAAACCCTAACCACATCGGTTGGGTGGCACGCGAGAGGTGACCTTCATCGGCCATAGTCCTTTGAGGCACCAACGCCTGGTATGAAACAAAGCATCGCTAACCGGAGGATGGCCGGGACGAAGCGGGCACTCATCACACCCGCGAAAGGAACAAGCAATTAAGAAACGACCTCTACTTGCCACAGCACCTCGGATGGCCGACGCAGGCACTAGAATCATGGCCAGCCGATGAAGGCAGGACCATCTCCTTAGACAAGCTATTCCTTATCCAGCACCCTCATCGGCCACAGACAGACCTTGGCCGACAAGGGCACCGCAAAGACGCAAATACCTAACATTTATACTCAGGAAATTATCTAAGTACTCAAATGAAGGAATTCTAGCCGAAGCGGGTACCAGTATACTACAAAGCCGTTAGCCACCTACACCTCTACATGCGTACTTGTGAAAAATTCAAAGTCCACAAGACTATGGTGAAGGTGCCCTTATCGGCCAGAACACAGGGATACAAGCCGACAACGGCCCTGGCTAAAACACCTGGGATGAATCCAAGGCCAGGACGATAAGGACGCCAACGCCTGGACGGATCGGACACTGCGGTCAGGGCTAAAAAGGGAAGCACCTAAAAGGAATAAAAAACACTTAGGAAATTTTGTGAAAAAATCCTAAGTGTTATGATAGCAAAGGAACACCGGTCAAGCCGACCAGGCCACCAGGCCGAAAGGAAAGCACCTAAGTGGATCCCAAAACACTTAGAAATTTTTTGGAAAATTCCTAAGTGTTATGAAACTACGTCCAAGCCGATCAAGCCACTAGGCCGTAAAGACAGGAGCTACATGGACCCAAAAACACTTGGGAAATTTTTGAAACAAAATCCTAAGTGTTATGACAGTAAAACAAAGAGGCATAGGCCGACCAGACTACTGGACGGGAAGGCTAAGTTATGACTTGATACTTAGACAATTTACAGAATTGCAATGACAAAGCAAACAAGCACACAAGGGATTCAAGGCCGTAAAGGACAGCAAAATTTTCTTCAATTGATAAACTACATTACAATTGGGGGGCACTACGGCCGTTACATCACTTGGCTAAAAATTGAAAAGCTAATTACAAAAAGTAGCCAATCAAGCTTCGGGGGCACCTCCATCTGCGGCCGCCTCATCGGCCTCATCAGCTCCCTCTTCGTCCTCAGCTTCTTGGCCGGCAGCAGGTGCAGCACTGGTAGCATCATCAAGGAAGTCGAACACATAACGGCTGATCGATCAATAATAACACGGAGTAATAATAATAATAAAGTATTAGTAATACGTAGTAATAACAATGAATAATAATCACATGCATACTAACCATACATACATAATACACCCATATATGCATGAAATGAACACATGAATTATATACATAACATAGTTACGAGACATACAAATATATATACGTAATAATAATATAACTATGTTACATACGCACATCTGCATAACGGATGGATCAATAGTTTATACGTAATAATAATACAATTAATTACAAGGCAATAGTGATAGAAAAGCAACGGAAGTATTTTGAGAAGTGATTTTGAAGTTGTTCGATCTGTGATATTTGAGAAGTGAAACTAAGTGTGTTTGGGTATTAAATATTTTATTTAAACATTTTCGAGGCAGTTTGAGAAAATGAGGAATATTTTGAGATATATTAATTCAAGATAAAAGAATGATTTCATAAAGAGGTAGGCACCTCGGGAGTATAAACTCTTGTATCATAAAGACATTTTATGAGTCTTATTGGCTTTCTAAAGATCCCATGGAGTACATTATACGAGAATCTATTGCAGATGAGCAAGCCAATGAAATGGTGAATTTAAGTCTCGAAATGTTGCAAAGCATATCTTTACCGATGCCTAAAACACTTAAATTTGAAGTTCTTAATCTTGAAGATCAATCCTTGAATGTCAAAGGAAAAGCACCTGAAGTAGAACTCAAACCACTTCCTTCTACTTTAAAATATGCTTTTCTTGGCCCAAATTCCACTTATCATGTCATTGTGAATGCTGATTTGGATCTTCAACAAGTGGAAAGAATATTGCAAGTCTTACGAAGCCATCGAAGAGTTATTGGCTACACCATTGATGATATTGTTGGCATAAAGGCATCTTACTGCATGCACCGCATTTACTTGGAGGATGATCACAAGCCGAGCATTGAGCACCAAAGACGTCTCAACCCCAACATAAAAGATGTTGTTAAAAAAGAAATTCTTAAATTGTTGAGTGTTGGTATCATTTTCCCCATTTCGGACAGTAAATGGGTAAGTCCTATCCATGTGGTACCAAAGAAAGGAGGAATTACTGTTGTAAAGAATGAAAAAAACGAGCTGATTCCTACACGAATAGTCACTGGATGGCGCATGTGCATTGATTACCGCAAGCTAAACAAGGCAACTCGGAAAGATCATTTTCCACTTCCTTTTATTGATCAATTGCTGGAGAGGATGGCTAAGCACAAATATTTCTGCTTTCTTGACGGATTCTCTGGATTTTTCCAAATCCCAATTCATCCGGATGATCAAGAAATGACGACATTTACATGTCCTTATGGTACTTTTGCATATCGCAGAATGCCGTTTGGATTATGTAATGCACCAGGAACCTTTCAACGATGTATGCTAGCTATTTTCTCGGATCTTGTCGAGGAAATTATGGAAGTTTTTATGGATGATTTCTCGGTTTATGGGATTTCATTTGATGATTGTCTTGAACATCTTGATATAGTGCTGAGCAAATGTGAAGAAGCAAATCTTGTCCTCAACTGGGAAAAGTGTCATTTCATGGCAACCGAAGGCATTGTGCTTGGGCACAAAATTTATGAAAAGGGCATTGAAGTAGACCCGACAAAGATAGAAGTCATTGAGAAATTGCCACCCCCTTCTTCCATCAAGGGGATTCGCAGTTTTCTTGGTCATGCGGGATTTTATTGACGATTTATCAAGGATTTTTCAAAAATATCAAAGCTTTTAACCAATCTTCTCTCAAAAGACGTGGAGTATAATTTTGATGAATCTTGTTACACCGCATTTGTATTTCTCAAAATCTTGATCCAATTAGGACTAAAACATAGTCAATACTCCAACTTAGGACTTAATGTTTTTAATTCCCTAAATGGGACTCCCTATTACCATATTACCCCTAATGTATTAAATCCCTACCTCTTCTGTGTTTGTCTTTCCCGATCTCTGCCTCCTCTTTCGCGTAGATCGCCCCAGATCTCTCCCATGTCGATCTGCAGGTCATCTTCGATTCCCTCTCCGCTGCCCAGGTCGACTTTTCTCCAGGTAAATGTTTCTTCTTCTTCTTTCTTCTTCTTTTCCTCCTTCTCCCTCTTTTCCTTTCCTTATCTTCTGTTCTCTGCTCCTCTCTGCTCCATTCTTATTCGGTCAACATTTTAGATTAATTTTATGTTGATGTTTATGTTAATTCTTTTAGATTCAAAATGGATTTTTTTTTTAATTGAAAATTTTGGATTTGGAACTTTTGGATTTGAAATTCGAGGCGCTATCAATTGTTCGAAAATATTTGGGTCTAATTTTTTTATTATGTTCGTGTATCAACTTTTAAAAAATGCCACAGGGTTGACAATTTTTTGGAGATATATTGACAATTTTTTGGAGATGACAGTATTATATCTTTGAAAATTAAATGATTTTGATATTTTTGACAAATGATGACATTTTTGCATCTAAAAATGTCATGTTGTAATCTCAAAAATGACATGTTTTTGCATCTAAAAATGTCATGTTGTAATCTCAAAAATGACATGTTTTCGGACCTAAAAATGTCATGTTGTAATCTAAAAAATGACATGTTTTTGCATCTAAAATGTCATGTTGTAATCTAAAAAATGACATATTTTTGCATCTAAAAATGTCATGTTGTACTCTCAAAAATGACATGCTTATGAACCTAAAAATGTCATGTTATAATCTAAAAAATGACATGTTTTTGCATCTAAAAATGTTATGTATTTTTCTTTGGTGTTATGATGATGACAATTCCACCTGAAATTGATAACATACTCTCCAGAGAAGGTAGCCAACATTGGCGGATGAAGGTGTAGCACTATTCTCACTAGAGGGCAAGTTCTAGCATGATGTGTGCGTTCTTGCCGAGTGTATGCAACGGCGGTCTCGCCGGTGGCAGCGGCAGCTCCTCACCGGGCAGTGGCGGTGGCGGTCTTGATGATGACGACTGGCGCGGAGGGTGTTGTTGGTGTCGGTGGTCTTGAAGCCCTGTTGCAAGGAATTATCGAAGGAAGTGCAGGGGCGTTTTTTATTTTTATTTCATTAAGGGTAATTTTGTCAAATCATCTCTTTTTAGTCCTATTTGTGTTTAATAAAACATAGTGGTCCTATTTTTGAAATTCTACCTTCTTTTAATCCTATTTAGACAATTCTCTCTAATAATAGTCGTATACGGTGGGCATACGGAGAGGTAATATGCTTCGAGTAGCCCGATCAAACAGACCTACTTGTGTGCATGCTTATAAATATACACCTACGCACAACGGAAGAAGGGGAAACGAACAAACGAATATATAACTACTAGAGAAGAGAGAAAGGAGAAGGTGAGGGCTGGACAGATTGGTCACGTCGTCGAAGCCGAAGGGAAAAGGGAGGAGCGCCGGACTGGTTTACGCCGGAGTAGTGAAGCCATCATCACCGCCGGAGAAGATAGCCGGAAAAGAAGCTAACGTCGCCGGACTGCAGGACTTCGAAACCACGCACACCGGGGAAGGAGCGGACGCCGACTGCATCACCGCCTATTACAACCTGCACTCTGCCACTCTCGTTGGAAAGAAGGCAGCTTGGAGGGATGGAGTAGGGATCTGTTCGCCGGCCTAGTATTCATTGACGTTGAAGACGACGGAGTAATAGTACGTTGTTCTTTTGTCTTAGTTGTAGTTTAGTTTATTCGGGCTGTTTAAATTTAGCTTGGACAAAAAAAATCAATAATAATATGAATAATAATAATAATAATAATAATAATAATAATAATAATAATAATGATAATAATAATTGATAAATTTGAGATGAGAAGTGTTAGTGATGAATGTAGCTGGGTTAATTGATAGTAATATTACTCTTGGATAAATTTGTTAATTTTTAGTTAAAATGATTACATAATGTTAAATGTAAAATGAGTTCATAAACGAATATTATATTAAAATGATAGTTTATTATGACGTAGTACCATAACTAGATCAAGTAAAATTGGATAGATATTATTTTCACTAACTACTGGATTAATTGTAGTAGATTAATAAAATTAACGTAATTACGGACTCGGAAATATTAAGTGTTGAGTAAATTAATAAAATCAGATTAAGTTAATGATGATTAGTTAATTTAAATAATTGTTAGAATATTCGGATCTTCTAATAATGTTGACTAAGGTAATTGTGAAATTTGAATATTAAAAATTGGGAATCAGACCGGTTAAATTGATGATAACCACTATAGTAAATTCGTCATTTTAAGTTGAAATAATTGCATAATTTAAGATAATGGTATAAATGGATTGATTAATTAATCAAAGACATGAAAGGAACCCATTATAATTTTAGATCTAGTAGTAGCTTAATTAGATGATTTTGATATTTCATAAGTGTACGAATAAATTGATAAAAACAGAATAAATTTATCAGTGAATTAAATTAAATATATTCGTCGGATTTGATACTTACTCATAATTTATAAGATCAAAGTAAGAGAAGTTTATCAACCTTAACTAAATAATAATATTGGATAATAATGATAAATCCGAGTAATAAGGAATTGTTAAAACAATAATTCGAATAATTTTATAGAAGGGGAAATTGGATAATCGGCTAAGAATAAAACAAGTGACTAATTATATCATCTTAATTAAAAATGTGAATATTTAGAGACCGGAATTGAGGAAGGGAATTAGGATCATCAGGACCTACTGTAAGTTTCTCTGCCAATCTAAAATCGTTTCCTCGTATTATATATGTACTATGTGATACGTGATTTTAGTGTGACTTATGATGTATATGCATGTGATTTTGAAGTTGTTCGATCTGTGATATTTGAGAAGTGAAACTAAGTGTGTTTGGGTATTAAATATTTTATTTAAACATTTTCGAGGCAGTTTGAGAAAATGAGGAATATTTTGAGATATATTAATTCAAGATAAAAGAATGATTTCATAAAGAGGTAGGCACCTCGGGAGTAATCCGAGGTGTCGGTTTTCCACGTCCCTTAAAATGTGGAGAGTGATTAGGGCTACTACTAAGAAGAGATTTTTGAGTAACTTTTGGATCTATGTTCCCTTTTAAGAAGGAGTGTAGGGTAGCAGTTCCGACGTAAAAAGGCTGCTACTACTAAGGGTAAGGATAAGTTTGAGTGACAGTTGGATCGATGATCCCTTTTAAGAAGCAGAGTTGTAGTAGTAGTCCCTAATCATTCAGAGATATCTTATTCAGGGGTAGTTGGGTTTCGACTATTCGTGACGACTTACTCCTCGGAGGGCTTGGAATCCCTTTTAGGGGGTGTGCACACTTAAGGTAGTCGTTTCGTTTCCACAAGAGCGTTGTGGTACCGGCATTGATCGAGATGGCCGAAAGGTTGAGCACCGCTCTTCTAAATTACTAGGAAGTTAGAGAAGAAGATTTTTTTTTAGAAGTTCAAAGAGAAGAGTTACTATAATATTTTCGAAGAAAAGTTGAGGATTTTAGTAAAGAAGTGATTTTGAGAAAAATCAAAGAGAAGAATTTTGGTGTTGTGTGTTATTTTTATATAGTATTATATGAAAAAACTATTTTCGCCAAACCTGATTATTTTACGGGGTTGGGTAGTACTTACTTAGCTCTAAAGCTAATTTTTGTTATTTTTCTTGTCCCTCTCTTCTCCCTTAATTTTTAGCAGGTGATGAGTTGGAAGCTTATGTTGATTGATCGATTGCTCGAGCCTGAGAGCGACTTAGAAGATGACTTAGTCAAATCTAGTCGTGAAATAAACATTTACTTATTATTACATTAGTTTTTGTTGTTTTGCTTTGAGTTGCCTGTGCATTCGGTTAAGAGATGACCGAATGTGGTGGTAACACCCATTTCCCTATTAAGGCTTTCGCTATATCTCTCTGATGTTTTTAAATAAAGTTGATAATTCTTTTAAATAAATCATTATTTAAGTGTATTTTTGGGAGGGAAATTTGGGGGTGTTACATGGAACTTTCAAACCGAGAAATCAAAACAATTCTCGAGAAAGTTGTTAATCCTTCCCGAAAGGATTGGGCCGAAAAGCTTGATGATGCACTATGGGCATATCGCACTGCTTACAAAAATCTCATCGGCACCTCACCATTCAAATTGGTGTATGGGAAAGCATGTCACCTTCCTGTTGAGGTTGAACACAAAGCATATTGGGCAATCAAGACACTCAACATGGATCTTGCATTGGCGGGTGAGAAACGACTGTTGCAGCTAAATGAACTTAAAGAATTCAGACTTGCAGCTTATGATAGCTCAAAACTCTACAAGGAGAGAACAAAAGTTTTGCATGACCGGGTGATCAGTCGAAGAAAATTTGAACGGGGAGATAAAGTTCTTCTATTTAATTCACGTTATAAATTCTTTCCCGGAAAGCTAAAGACCCGATGGTTGGGTCCATTTGAAGTACTTGAAGCATTTCAATCCGGAGCAGTCCAGTTGTTAAACAAAATCGGCCAAAAACTCATGGTAAATGGACAACGGTTGAAACTATACCATGATGGTGAGAGACAAGAGGCAACTTCTGTGTATTGCCTCACTGATCCAACATATGAATGAAGATGCATGGGTCAAGCTAATGACCTTAAATGAGCGCTTCTTGGGAGGCAACTCAAGTTTGTAAATTCAAAAAAAAACAAAAAAAAAAGGAAAAAAATGTCTAGGTTTTTGTTTTTGGACTCTAAAGGGGCCACATCCGCTCGAAAGGACATCTCAACATCATCCGTCCGCACTTCAGGGAAGTTTTATTTACACTCTAATTTATTTTCCACTGAGGATAGTGCAAATTTTAAGTGTGGGGGAGTGGGTAGTTCGACCCTAATTTCTTGTGTGAATATTTTTTTTCTTTTTCCTTGCTTGTTTGTGTGATTTTATTTTCTTTTATTTTTATTTTGTGTGTTTGTTTGTGAATAAAGACCAGTCTTGTCTAAAATACAACAATAGACAAACAACACATTAATTTACACTTTTTGTTACTAGTTACTTCCATAACTTTTTAAAACTATTCATTCACCTCTTTTGACGAAATGTGGTTTGAGTTTGAGAAGTGTCACTATAATTTTTTGAGAGTAACTTAGTAGTAGCTTTGAACTTGATTCTTTTTAATACTTTAACATTAAACACCTTAGATTTTATTTTTCCAATTTATTGGTTAATAGTTGAATTAGTGAAAGTTTATGCAGTTTAAGATGTTCATACATTTATTCTCCTTGAAATTTTATTTGAACTTGACACATTTAGAAATGATTTAGGCCATCTTTGTTTACCCATGAAGCCAAACACTATCCCTTTGTAAATAAATAACACTTTCCCTAGTAACCCCGTTTGAGCCTTTTCAGTGTACAAGTGTAAAATATCTTACTTTACTTGTTACTAATTTTTTTTTGTAACCTTGTAAATACATAACCTTCTGAAGCCCTACCCAAAGTTAATCTTTTCTAATCCTAGAGTAGATTGTCTTGTTACTTGAGAGTGAATAAATGGAGCTACTATTAAGTGTCATATGAGTGAAGTACATATTTGTTTGTAAATTTTGGGGTTAGTTTTTCATTGTAATGTTCGGTGTGTGCCCTCTTTGAAAAAAAAAAAAAAAAAAAGAGAAAAACAAGAGAAGAAAAATTGTAAAAAAAAGAAACAAAAAAAAAACAAAACAAAAAACCAAAAAAAAAAAAATAAAGAGGCACATTAAATTCTTGTTGTAATTTCTTTTGTAAAACCCCATTTTTTTACTTTTCATGTTTATATTTCTCATTGCTTTGTATGCTCCAAGTTTTTGTAAATTCTTGTGATGATCCGCTCAGTATTAGCACAATCTAACTCTCTCTGTATATTCTTACACCAAACCTTTCTTCCAACTAGCCACACTCATTAATCTCGCCACTCACCGAAAAAAGTCCTAATTGATCTATTTGTGTCATTTTTTGAATTTAGCGGATTGGAGAAACTTGTTCTGCATAACCCGAACTAATTTAGATCTATAGGTGTTTGTGTTAAAAGTTTGATTTGAAAATCTTAGTGATAGGCAATAATACTTGGTTTACTCTCATTGCATTATTTTGTGACATTTCAGGGTATTGTACCATTTAGTGGACATTAGAGGTGGATATGGGATTTATTTAGTTATGTTTGTAAATCTTATCAAATTGTGTATATTTTTGTGTTTGTTGTTTGTTTTACTTGAGGACAAGCAAAAGCCTAAGTGTAGGGGATTTGATGTGCTTATATTTTACACACTTTTTAGGCCTAGTTTGTTGATAATATTAGTTATTAAAGTTGTACTTTTGTACATATTTTTATTATTTGTCGTTAATTTGTATTAGTGCGGTGTTATGCGTGGATTTTGTATTTTCAGGTACTTTTGATGCTATTTGGATCATATGTGCATAAATCAAAGAAGAAAATAAAAGTTCAAGTTGGAAGTTTATAAAAGTGGAATTTCATTCAAAGCAAATAAGGAGTAAATTGAAGAAAAGAAAGAGGAAGACAAAAAAGGACACAGCCGGGTGTTGAAGCCACAACCTCCAAGTGAATTAATCACTCCCATAACCACTGCACCACTATGTGTTGTTGAGACATTTACGCGCTTCGTTTTACATAAGCTTATCTCTTCCGTAAATTCCAGCAATTAATGATTAATCACCTTATCATTATATTGCCTTAATCCATCTTCCTCCACACATAAGCTCGAACCAAGTTCTCTCTAAACATCCCAGAAACATTTCCTCCTCCTTCTCTCTTCATTTCTCAACCCCAAATCATCAACTCATCTTCAACCATAACTAATCACTTTCTCATCCAAGATTCAGTCAAGATTAGCATCAAAGCTCCAAGGATTGTCATCTACCACAAGTTTGATCTTCCTTATCTCATTAAATCTTGTAGTTTAATCATGGATTCATCTATTTCTATGTTTCCCAACATGTATAGCTAAATAAATTTGGGGCTAGAAATTGGTTAATTAATTGTTCTTATAATGTTTTAATTTGTATTGATTTTAATTGTTAAGTTTGTTCTATTTAGATTGTAGTGTCCAGAAAATTAATTATGTTGTGTTTGTGATATATTATGAGTATTCAATCATAAACATATTGTTTGTTAAATACACAAATGAACACTTTCTGAACACACCGTTAAACTTCTTTTACCTTGTCCCGGATTGAAGTTTTTACGGGAGAATTTAATTATTTAATTATGTTATTTACACCACGGGGTTGGGTAAATAATATAGTTAATAATTAAGGTTGTCGTTGCACTTAAACAACTAGTCTCGTTTTGACCATCACTGGGAAATGTTGACTAGTTACTTATTTTAGGTGACTTGTGTTGGGTCCTAAAATATTTATCTACAACTTCTCACAATATGTCTGAGAATAAAATTAGCAATTATGTCTTACAAATGAGCATTGAACAATTAGTTGCCAATTTCTACCCCTACTTGCTATTGGTTGAACATTGTGTTGATAAAAATCTCTTCTCTCAATCACTTTTATTTAATTACTTTTCCAAGAAAACAAAAATCAAAAGAAACGCATTCCCAACTTTAATCCTTAGTTTGTGCTTAATTATTTTATTTCCCGCTTCTCTGTGGTTCGACACCCTACTTCCTTGGGTAAAAAAATAGTTGTGTACCCATTATATGCTACACACCAGTATGAGCAGGTATCAATTTGAGCACGTACAAAAGCCTGCCGTACTTGCTTATGGTAACAAATCTTTGTTTGTGGATGTTGATTGCTAACCTTGAATTAGACGGGCTCGACACATTCTTCACGGAATCTGGTGTTCCAAGTGACGCCCTTCTTTTATTTCGCCATACATGCAACTTTAGGTTTGATACATTTGCTTTTGATAGACTGGGTGATAACATTGCCCCTAATGATTCCGTATAATGTTGTTGTAAATAAATAAATGGTTTTTTTTAAATGTTTTTGCTTAATTATTTTAGGTCAAATGATTTTCCCTGTAAGGTCTGTCATTCCTAATTTGCCATACGAATGACTCTTCTACTGCCCTTCTTTCTTCTATGTTCCACGTAAAACATCAAAGGTTTGATTAAAATATCACTTGTAATGTCATTTAGTACTTTGATTAAAATCCTTTATTTCTATCATTGCACTAATTTTTACTCTGAAATAATATCCCTAAAATAGGAGCACTGCAATGAATTCTTGATGAGCTATTGTTGTGATCCAGATTTCGAATACATAGACTTAGTTGTGGGGCATGGAACACAAGATCAACACTTTGCAAGTAGGCATCAGCCGGTGTTGTTTAAGGCCGTCAGAGATCACTTTTGTTTACATAAAAGTTTAAAGCTGGTGTTTTTTAACATCATGTGTGGTTGTGTTTTAATGCTGGTAATTGGTAACTGTCACGTAGAGTTACTACCCCCCCCCCCCCCCCCCCCCTAAACACTAATATAGAATATATGATAGAGTTAAATGTGCAAGGTAGAATGGGTTAAGAATTGTTGTTGTGACTTTTAAGAAAATGTTTGTGATGGTTGAAAATTTGCATATTTGGAATTGAATATGGTTGATTTAAATGTAGGTCGACATACCAGTGGTTGAAGACATTAAATGGGAAAAAATGAAATGAAGAAACAGTTTTAGACTACGGTCGACCAAATCTGGGTCGACACTGTTTATATACGGATCGAGCAACGTTCTGTGACTTGATGTTTTTAAATTGCAGTTTAGTAACTTAGTGTTTGCATATTTGGAATTGAATTTGAAAAAGTGTGGAGTATCTATTAAGTGAATTTAATATTTATTGGTGAAAAGAGGAGCATTTTGAAAAGCCCTCAAATAGTACTCCGTTGCAATGGTCTAGTCTCATAAATTGGTGTAAAGCCCAACGGCGATCTAGTCTCA